GCCCGTCATATGGTGTCAGCGTCACGCGATCATTTTGATTCCGACTGCCTTCAAACAACAGCAGACTGGCGTCTTCCACGAAACAGCCACTCATGAGCGACACCCTGTCACTTGACGCCTCAGTAGACATTTTTTCCAGCTCTCTTTCCACAGCTCGGATGGCGGGCTCACTTCCTTTCACTTCAAGGATGGCTGAAGCTCGAGATCGGGAAACACTGGGACGAATGACGATGCTCGTCGCCCCAGTCTTTCTCGCAATTCCCAGGGCCTTGCTTTTCTCGACGCCTGCCAAATAGGTTGTAAGGAGAGGAGAAAGGAAAATTACGTTGTAATCTTCAGAGCCGCTTATTGCCAGCATGATCTGCACATCTCCATACAATGCTAACAGCTGATAGGCGCGTTGCATGTGTTCTTTCACCAAGAGTAAATGCTCTTTGTCAAGCAGCTCTGCAAGTTTTCGCACTTGTAAGATGCGCGCAAGGGTATCTGGGAGGTCCTTTTCAAAAGACGAGTCGTGCGTTTGAAAGAAAGTCATAAGGACTGTACCAAGTTGGGCTGTGTCCAGCTCCTCTTGGGTGAGGGGTGTGTCCGTTGGGTTTTCGCTACAACTTTTTTCAAGACGGTGAACGATTTTTTCCCATTCCATGTACTGGGCGCCATCCGTCACGCCACCTTGTACTAGCTGTTGCCTCTTAGTCACGATGTGTTCTACGTTAAAATTTCCAATAAGCCCTTTGCGCATGCACTGAACAAGAAGCAGGGTGACCAGGATATTAGAAATGTTTCCGGCACCAGCCGCATTGCGTGACAGTCCTGTCACGCAACACCATCGGTGAACGGCACGCAGCACCAGCAACAGTCGCGGATATGACTTCGTATAGCTGGACACCAGTATGGTCAAGTTTAAACTGTCTGGAGAAGAACTCAAATCACAGGAAAGATTAGACGGGCAATTGCTACCAGCTTGGAACTTCTCTGTTGGCCGCTTACAAACAAGAACCTGAAAATCCAATTCAAGTTATGAATATTTGTAAAGAGAGAGCAGAATACTGGGATTTGGTGACCGAAACAAGAGGCCGGCCACTCATTCTATTTTTTACACTACCAGAGACGCGAATGGGCGCGATATTTGGTGCTGATTAAAGGAGCCCCGTCACGTCATTTGGGTTATTTGGCCACGTACAAAATTACCTTTAAATTGAAGGAAACCCGAAAATGAAAGTTTACCAAGACAGAAAAACACCAAAGAGATGATAATAAACCATAAAGGAACAAGGATGATTAAGGATGGAGAAGATTAACACGGATTACAAACGATGAAGTTGAAAAATTTAGGTTTAACTTTTCAAGATGCTCAAACGTGACATAGCTCCTTTAAACGGAGGTAACAAAGCTAATAATAATAATAATAACAATAGCTTTATTTAAGCCTCAAATGTATTTAGCACAGTTGTGCTAACTGAGGACACTGTAAATAACCAAACAAATATTGCAAATAGAACACAAATTATTAAGAATCCCAACTGGTCCCAACTGAGACTAAAAAGTCTCAGTTGCTGGTATTATATTATGAATCTCTGATTTGCACATCTTTCATAGAGAAGCCATTTGAGTAAAGTCCTCTTTTGTCGACTTCGTTGTTAAATCCTTTTTTAGCTTCTCATTTCTTGAATGAATATGACAGAATTACTCTAATGTTGTTTCTTGAATTTTGGTCATTAATCGAATGAAAAATCAAGTAGAGGATCAAGTCTCGGTGTGAATTTGAGGAGTGGATTATTGAAATAAGTTATAAAATCAAGTTTGCGGTAGTAAATTCACTAGTTTGC